AAATAATACTGAGAGATACCACAATAGCAGCCCGGCTAGCGAGCTAGCCAGTAGGGAAAACACAACTGTGACTAAATCCTGAAAACAGCAGAAGGAGGACTGTGCCCTGAGAAATAAATCTTACATGCTGTTGTTCCATTTCTAAAACACCGCATCACACCAAAGACCTTATAATGTGGACAATCATAATCTGGCATATGATCTGCTTTTCACATAAAATCATATAAATTTTTCATTACAAAATAATTTTTAAAATGTATTGCTGCTGACCAGTTAGGCCCACTTCATCCCATCTAAGTCCATGGATGGACTCCAAAAAACATGACGTGATCACATCACAGTCTGCATGACAGGGTAAAGGGGTGCAATGAATTCAGCATATAGACACGGAGAGGTCCCAAGTCTACTTGATATAGTAACAGGCAACAAAAAGAAACCCAAAGGCACAAGTTCTCCTTTTTAGAGCAAAAACTGAACATGAAGTTGGTACACGATCTGGAATATTGTGCAATTAGAAAAAAACATCAGTCAAAACTTTTAAAAAGGCTGCAGCCCAGCAAAGGAGTTGCTGCATATACACTGGAGCATGTCTTTAGCCTGTCCAAGCCCGCTATTTTAAAACAATGATTAATGCCATTCACAGGAAGGAATAACAGTAGCTGACCAATAAAGATTGCTCTGGTGTAAAGAAGTCTGAAGAAGAAAATGCCTGGAATGAATTGTGGAGTTTACTTTGTCCATCCTTCGGTCAGTACATAAACAGATTTTAAATGAAAGAATTCTGGATTGAGAACCAGAGGAATCATTTCAAAGGCTATTCAGGTAAAAAAAAAAAAAACATTGTCAGGCACAGTTACTAGAAAAAGAACTAGACACTCACGGCAATAATTCCAAAGTCAACATGCTACGTCTCAGTCCTCAGGAATTTTTCATGAGCCACCACTTATCTTGTCATATCAGATTTCTTCCACCAGCTTTTTTGGAGGGAAGAGAAAAGACACCTTTAGGGCAAATTATTCTCTTCTAATCAAATCACTCTGTATGGCCTGAGGAGATCTTTCCATCCCTTTTTGAGTCACTCGGGCAAAGGCCACTCATGCACACACCCAGAAAAAAAAAAAAACGCACGCAGTCATTCAAAGGAACACTCACTTATTCGCAGCAGCAGTTTGTCGTCTTTTTATCTGAAAGCAAGAAATGAGACTCAACAGGAAAATAAAAAATACAAGAAGGAACCGAGGAACAAAGCGGCGTCTGGAATTTCCATCGCAAGTGAAATCCCAGATTTTCTCACTCCCTGTTCATGGAACAAAATCGAACAACTTTATTCTGGAGTGCAGTCAGTGCAGAAGGGAGCTATAAAATATAAATTATACCACATAACCCTATACCTCCCAACTGAGCCATTTGGTTACAACTATACTCCTGTTCGTTACACAGGTCCAGCGTCTCTGCTATTTCTATAGCGTCGACACGAATTATATCCCAGCCCCGCTGAAGAACGTATGGATTACAAGTGAAAAGTAATTTCCCTACCGATTGGACAGTTGCCACCAAGTGACACTGAGGTGTTTATTTTACTCAGTCGCTGGTAATTAGTTCTGGACAGAATCAATTAAGGCCACCTCAAATTACATCTGAAAACCTAAGAGTTATGACTGCGCCTCAGAGGGCAGGAAAATGTATTAGGGTCGCTGTGCCAAATGTGTCCTATCACAAATAAAGACAGAGTGAGTGAGAAGCTTCCACAAGCACTCAGTGTCTTCATGTTTTAGCACACGAGTATTCCCCAGTTCTTCCTGTTTCCTTACATTATCGCACATAAGACGTTTTAACATTTAACATTCGAAATGAAGCCTGTAGAAAACAAAAAAAGGGCATTAAAAAAATGAATGCATAGAAGTACAGGTATCAGGTTGCGCTTTGTAGATGGGAGGCCGATTTTAATCTGATTAACTTGCCATTTCCAAATGTGATCCGTTTTGTCACCGCAGAGACAATACCATAATTGAGCAGACTGAAACTCTTACAGATATCAATCTGCGTGATAGTGTGAGACTAAACACATCTTAAATGCTCGTGTCATAACAGCTGTTCACCCTATTCATTACCTTTTGCTATTTGTGTCTCCTTTCTTTTTAAAGTTAGGAATCACATGAACACAGACCAAATTTCATAATGTTTTCACAAAGGTAAGTGTGTGAAGATTCGGTTCCTTGCTTTGTGTGTGCTGGGGTACGAAAAATGGAATCACATCTCGCATATGTATATTGTTTTAAATCAAGTATGTCTCACGCTGTGTTCTTTATTAAATTAGGAGCCCTGCGATCCAATTTGTTTCAACATTTCACTGTGTCTCTGTTTTAGTCGCCAAAGCTCACAGCTTAGGTTCTGGTGTCTTGTTTAAAGATTTCCATCTTAAGGCATCCCTATGCATGTGACCCCCCCCCTTTCAAAATATTACCTTTGCTGTCACTGCCAAGACACACTATCAGTCACTCAGGAGATTATCGGTGATGGGAATGGATGGAGAGTAGCAGCGCCATATCGGTACCAGTGACCCACCTCTGAATAAATAAGAACGGTGCAACAATCCAGCTTTGACGCTGCTGAAGCATCGCAGAAACACTCGTGGGAGAAGATGGAAAAAGTGCTCTCTCTCTCTCAGATTTGCTGAATATCTTTACCTGTTAGCATGAGTGAAAGTGCATATTTCCTTTCATCTAAAAGAAATGCTGTTGGTTTTTCTTCCTGATCCGCACTTACACATATTCCCCTTCACTTGTGCCTCTCTGAGGTTAAGCGCTGTACTTTCAAACGCGGCCTCATTACTAAAATTGTACAGAAAAATATTTTGGGAAATTATGGTCAAGCAGTGATTATCTCTGTAAATTCATCAATTGAAATATAGGCATAAGCAGCTGCATAAATAGGAGACAGCAGCAAATGCATAAATGCACCGAGTGGGTTATCAGCAGAGTCTTTATGCACTTAGCACTCATTCTTATTAAGTGAGGAGGCAGGGAGTTAGAAAGTAAGAAAGCCGGGGGGAAACAGTGAGGATGGAGTTGGTGTGGAGGGGTGGGGGTGTGGGGTGTTCTCGTTGTGAGGAGTAATCAGAGGAAGCCAGCAGGGGGGACAGGGAGGGTTGGTGGGGTCAGAGCAGAGCACCACTGAGCAGCCTTTCTCTTCATTAGCAGCCTCTCTAAGGGGGGGCGTCACAGGCCTACCTGTCCAGCAGATTATTGAACCGACTAACCAGTGGCACCCACCCCACACACACACACGCTCTCCCCTCTCTGATTCTCACAGACCCAGAGGAATCACGACCTAGCTGCAGATCCTTTGACAACTTTAACTTTTTCTTTAACCTCACGCAGCAGAAGTACAGGCTGGTGCAGAAGGGAGTCTGTTTCCTGCATATTAAAGGACATGTACGACGGTGTTTTTCTCTAATAATTTTTGAGGATTTTTGTCTTATAAATGTACTATTTTTTTTTTATTGTTTCATTCAAAATATGCATTTTATTTGCTAAGCTGATTTGTTTCACGGTGGCTTTCACGCAGTTCTGAAAAAGTCATAATTATCCGACACAAAAAGCACAAGACAGAAGCATTTCGAACATGATGAAAATCATTAGCAGCATTTTAACATCTGCAACTTATGTGGTAAAGGAAATGTGAAATTGAACAGATCCCCACTCGGTCTGGCTGAGAGACAGCAGCACGGAGATAAAAGTAATGAAATGACACTGCAGGAATGTAAATTGGCATTCTTCACTGTAGTAGCAGCACCAGCTCATGAAACATCCTTGACACACACGCACACTCATACCAGGCCAAAATACTGTTAGGCATTAATCTCGCACACATCTCACTGACGAAAGTGTGAAGGTACTTTTAAGTGGGAACATTCATCTCAGTCACCCTCATTGTTTCTCGTTTTCTACCCCTCACACACTCTCTCTCTCTCTTTTCCTCTCCTCGTCTTTTGAAGCGTTCAGATATGTCCAAACTGAAGTGTCTTAAGCTGACTTTGAAATTCAAGCTGGCCGTCTGCTTGTGTTTCAATGAGTTTGTTTTTATGGGTGAACTGTAACACAGGGGCACATAAACAGTGGGGATGAACTAGTGTATTTGGCAACAAAAAAAAAATTTAAAACACACACACACACACTTTACAAACTCTTAAAATTACCTAAAGGTTTTGGCTGCGTTGACATAGCACAGGAAAACATGTTTGTTCCTTAAAGGAGAAGGAATTGTGCAGAAAAATTGAAGCAGGATTTTCAGAAGAGGGTTTTTATGAGGCCTAAGAAAATTTACTTTCCAAATTTTAGACCCAGCTGAGGTACAATCAAGTGTGTCCACGTTGATCTAAAACAACACACACCGTTTTTATGAGCCCCTGTGTGTCCTTGATGTATGAAGAAATTGCACTGAACTCCACTCCAATCAAGGCCTCAATACCAACTGGTATCAAAGTGGCTTATACATAAATATCATGTAAACACTTTAACAGTTATACAATTTACAGCGCCTGGATTTTTCCTGTCAGACGCCACCTAAAAGTTTTTAATTTGTCTCGCAGAAGCAGAGAATTATGAAACACTTTCAGGCAAAAGCTTTAAATAATAACAAGTGAGGTTAGATTTTGTTAACTTACTTTTTAAGCCCCGTTTTTTCCTCAGGATTTGAAAGGCTCAGAAACGCAACAGTTGGTGATTTTGTAAGACTCACAGACGAGGAAAAGGTAAAGAAAAATTTATCTAAACAAGGTTAATACATTTTTTTCTATTAGTTTTACTGACAAATCTAGCAAATACGTCATATGAAGCAAAGCAAACAGGGGGAAATATATGACTTCAGCAAAACTTTTTTTTTTCTTCTCTCGTCTGACCAGCAAACAAGTTAATAAAAAGTTACAGCTCCCGTGATTTGTCACACCGATGTGCCATCTGAAAAACTTCAGAAAGTACACGCAGAAAAATCATATTTACCATTGCTGCATGTTGTATCTGACAGACCCCGGGGCTCCTGGCACTTTTCAAAGTTGGCGTCCTCAATAAAGTCTGATTTCGCCCTCAAGTGGGGAACTTTCTCCTCTTCAATCCAGTCCGATGTATATCTTGCGATTCACGCTCGGGTTTCTTTTCAGACTCAGCAACGATGTTTTTTTCTTGACACTTCTAGGAGTAACACGGGGAAACGAGCGCTCGCTTTTTCATCCCGAGATTGAAAGCGTCCCGACTTGAGAGAAAAACGCGCGTCGTTTGGGTACGGGTCGGTCTCACGGAGAGGAACGCGCGACCACGACACTCTGTCGCCTCTCCTTTCCCCCAAACCGTAAACTGAAGTAATCAAGGAAACTGCAGGGATCACTGTCAGCCAGAAGCCGAGTTGTAACTGCTTGCCCTACCTTGATGAAAAAAAGAGAAAAAAAAGAAAAGCTTCCTACACTTCCCCGGTGATTTCCTTCTGCAGAGTCAGCACAGCGGAGAGCTGCGGACGGTCAGGGCTGCTCTGTTGTGTTGGGTGAATTCAGATCAGTGTTTTACACGCCGTGTGTGACTGTAACCCAAGTGACTGCGGGTCCACGGAGCTTTTGTGCCTCATGAGTTGATTTACAATGTTGTGCCAGCATGAGGATTCGCTTCGTCGTGCAAGAAAAATGTGCCAAAAACCCTTAGCCCCAAGATAAGAAATCGTCAGAGAGGCGTATTAAAAGCTTTCAATATTTGAGAAGCAGCAGTGATTCAATGATATTTCTTTTTCTTCGTGTGCATTTAGATAATATATAATGTTCTAGTCTAAATAATACTGCCGATTTTTAACAGTACTGTCAAAAAGGGGAGTTCATCAGATCAGGCTGAAGGAGCAATGCATTAACAAAAAAAAAAGGGAAAAAAAGAAAATGATTTTGAATGCTGTATCAGCTCTTTAGCGTCGGACACAGAATTTCATGTTATAACAAGAAATCTTCGCCCTTTTTTACTTTTTTACTTTCTGTTCTCTAAGGCAAACACACGTGCGACCCTGCGCTTGTGCGCGCGCACGCGTGTTTGAAGCAGTTTGAAATAGTTTCCGTTGTTGCCTTCAGCAGGGATGTGACACTGATTCCCTGAGCTGTCCCTCAGATCCCTCAGAATTAGGCGTGCTCATTAAAGTTTCATTGTGCACTTGTTTTTATGATGATTTGCTCAACATTTGACTAAGACATCTCGAGAGTGAAGACTTGAAGGAGTGAGGGGTGTGTGTCTGTGTATGAGTGTGTGTCTGAGGGTGTTGTGTTAGTTAGAGGATAGAGTGGAACAGAAAAAGAGAAACATTCACTCTCATCGGAGTGACTGCCTGCCTGCCTGCCTCAGCCCGGCTTTCCGCTGGGGTGAGAGAGGCAGTGGAATCCCAGGGCAGTCATTTCTATCAAGTCAAGCGTCTGGAAGCCCCACTTGCATGTTTGGTCAAGGGGTAAATAATAGATCAGGGATTAGGCTTGTGTAGAATTCATTCCAGGGTAACAAGCTACTGAGGTCCCAGGATATGCATATTCATTCCTTGGCCAAGGCCATGGGAGAGCGAGGACCATATGCCTGTTTGTCAGAGGGCTTAGTTTGCTAATTAAATGAGATATTACATACTTATGTGAGCAACAAAACAAAAAGCCTTTAAAGGATTGTCCAGAAAAAAATTGTGCTTGAATCTATTTTGTGTTGACTTCAAGTGCTTTGATGTTGCTTTAATTTGACTCAGGAAGTGTTTTCTATTTCAGAGTGTTGATTAACCGTGTAGATATCAGGAGCTATGGATGTGTATACAGAGCTTATCAAAGGCTAACATGACATTTTTTTTCTTTGTTGTTGCTTTGCTGCCAAACTATCAGATGACGATAAATCTGTTATGACAAACAGATGAGATAGTAAATATGATAGTGAGTGTCTGGCTAGCCATAGTGTATTTTCACCTTCTCATTATTTTCTTACCTCATGATTTTTGGAACAATTGCACTTCTTTTGGGGTGGGCTGGATTCTATGAGCAGGGCCAAACAGGTCCCTGGCTCGTTACTTTGTCACTCAGAATGACTGGCTAACAATATAAAAAGTTTTAAATCTAAGCTCCGGATTATATGGCAAGCAATACAGGTAAGGCCATTAGAGGTTTGGTCCTTTTTCCAACACCATAATAAAAAACTTACTTTGTCATTTAACAATATTTACCCTAACCTCAGTCACAGTAATGTTGTTGCCTGTACCCTAACAACATTAAGATGTCAAATCACGACCTCAACAAACACACATTCAACAAAAAATTTATGGGCCCAAAGTGAACCATCAGGCTCAGACATCTAAATGTAAGTTTTGGGTCATGGCATAAAAAATACAAAATTTTAAAAAAGTTTAATTTTACAACAGAAAAGCCAAAACATGAACATCAGCCCCTATCAAATCTGATACTGCATATGGGGCAGTAACTGATCGATATTGGCTTACTATACACGTCATTAACACTAAGTGGGCATTCATTTTAATGATACTGATAAACTGAGCTGTGTACTCACAAAATTATATGCATTACGTCGTCTTAGAGGTAACATCTGTATGTATATTTATGTATTATGCTTTTTATTGCTGTAGTTATTATATGCTGTACCCTGACCACTGCCAAACCATAAATGACCATACAGAGTAGATAAATTTCCTTCTGTGAAAACATCAACTTGCACTTCATGTATTCTGTGAAGACGACTAGCAAATTCATTTTTCAACTCATTAACATGTCCTGGGACGTAAATAGTGTAATCATATTTATTTTTAGAACAAATATAATGCATCTTTATTTAAAAAAAAAAAGAAAAAGATACGGACATACAATGTTTGCTGCAGGAGGCTTGATAGGGAGGAAAAGTATATGTTTATCTGTCGCTGTGACAGGATCCCACTGTTCATTAATTACCCAGCGGGACCGCCGATAATGAGCTATTGAACCTGCTGCTGAAGTGTTCCACCTCCTGGGATGGCCATCAGCTGCTGCATCACATTTTGTGGATCCATCAAATCCACAGAGGTGCTCCTGTTCATTAAGTTCCAGTCACTAGTAAAGCACAAAAAGGTCCAGAAAGGTCAATTCAACCATCCCCAAGAAAACCCAAGAGTTTTCAGAGGATTGGCTCTCACTGTAAGTTTTCTTCAACAGTCTGGAGGCAGTTAATGACCTGAAGAGCTTTTTTCTTTTTTAGCTGCTTCTTGTCACATGATGTTTCTGATGCCAGATCGATACCCCATTCAGTGAACACTTTATTTGGATGTCATAAGTCCGTTGAATGGCTGTTATCAGTAGCCTTATACATCTGGTTGGTAGGTGCCTTCCTATACCTACTAGTAGGCTCAGATAGCAATTTTTATTTCTACTAATCAATGATAAGCTGCCTGCTGCATAATCTAATGTAGCATAATCAGATTGCATAGAAGTCCTCTAGTGGTCATGTGAAGAAATGAAAGTTTAACTCACATTTTGCAGTTACAAGTCATTTAAATTATGAACATTTGAAATATCTGCCTGCTAGTGGACATAGTAGAACACCTACTTTGTCTGATAACAAGTAGTCATTTAAATGTCTAATGGCTGTTATTCTCTACCAGACATTGTGTGTTACAATGAAATGGCATCAAATTTATCTATGAACCTCAATTAACAGATTTGCCTTTGTAGGATAGGACTTCACACATGCATGACCTGCTGCCTTTCAAAATTCAATCTGAGTGAACCTGAAGTCTTAGGCTTGGACAGAAAAAGGCGTCAAGACAGTTTCAGGTGCTGGAGGTTGATCAAAAGAGAATTAAAGGGTTCGATGAGCATCACTGAAGTAAAATCGTGCCTTTATACTGAGATGACTTGGTATATCAGTCTCTGAGTTTGAGCCCTTCTAATTCACTGAGAGCGAAGCACAGGTGTTGGAAATAAGACAAATACTTTTCTCATCTAAAAGCTGTTTTCCAACTGGACAACATTTACTCAGGGCGATCAATGTCCCATGTCCTAGTCTCTTCTCTCATACTCAAGGGAAATATGAACTTAATTTACCCTTTCACCAAGCAAAGGACAAGCTCTCCGGCAGCAGCCCAAGGGAAATAGTCTGACTCCTTGTTCCCACACATCCTGAGGGGTCTAACTGTGGGTGGAATGGCACTTTAGTTGGGTGAGTTGTTAGCGAGTGTGGCCCTGCAGTTCATGGCACCGTGGACGCACAGAAGCTCACACATACACATATACGACGCTGCCTCTGAGAGGTGTGTCTTGCAGATCAATTCATCCTTTATGAGTGCTCCAGTTTGTTAAGGGTAGGACCAGAAGGTCATCAGATGGGAGTCAAACAGACGTCCGCGTCATCTCTTTGGGGCTGGCGTTAGACATGAACAAGGGGGTTTGTGCATACAGTATGTGGGGAGATGGGTGCTAATGGGGAGGGGAGGGCATCTAAATCACATGCAAACAGGAATGCACATAATAGGAAAAAACAAAGTGTAAGGTTTATGGCGAGGGAAGGTTTTGAGCTTGAGTGGTCTGATTTAGGTGCACAGATATTGTCAGTCTAACGGCTGAAACAGGGGGAAAGAAATGGTAATCAATGGTTTCTCTGTCCTGGGGTTTTGTAAGGCAGTCCAAGGTCTCACAGGATTCAGCATGAGGATGGCTCATGCTTGGGGTCAAAAGTGGCTGACAATTCTCCCACAGACTCCACTGAGAGAAATAATATCCCTCCTCAGGGCATCACTCGAACAGAAATGCGTACAAACAAGTCTTAAAATGTCAGCAAGTGGACATGAACTTAGCTTGCGATTTAAAAGATTTGTGACTTTGGTTTCAAAAGACACTTGGTGTGATAGCAGCTTATTGTTATCTTACTCAACAAATAGAGTCATCAGCCGTATTGCATAGTGACTGTGTTTCAAAGCCTTTACTGTAAACGCTCACATGTTGGAGCCTGTCTCATTTGTACGCAGTGGGAGTGATGTACTAAACACTGCGCAGGTTTGACATCCCAACTGGCATTTGTACGATTGATGTTCCTTTAAAGTGGAGGACTTGTGACTCTTTAGTATCTTTTGTCATCTTCTGCAGTTCTCAGGTTCTTTCTTCCCTCAGCATCAAAGCTAGGCCACATTAATGCAGACAATATCCCACTTACCTGAGGCGGCAGGCGGAGACTGTGCTTTCACAATTCTCCGTGGAGTGTCATGTTTTTCCCCGGGATGTGCCTCTCTTCCTTCCTCTGTCAGCGCTGGCACACCAGGGCTTGTCATTTGGTTCTTGAATTTTTCATGCAGGTGCATTTGCATGATCACAATCCTGTGTCACTTCTTCCCCTGGTAGATTAAATGCTGCCTGGCACTTGAACTTCCCCGTGACTCAGCTGAGGCAGAACAGAAGTAAGACAAGCGTGCTTGCTGGGACTGTCAGTGCAAGAGCCATCTTGTTTCAAAGGGTGGCACCTTACGGTTTGGCAATTGGCTCG